GAAACCGGTGGTGAACACTCAAAAAACGGCCCAAGAGGGCATAACATGAATGAAAAAAAAACGGAATAGATTTGAAGTCAAGCGGAGTAGACGAGTAGATTTCAAATTTTTTCAAAAACCGGAGTAAATCTAATCTGATCTTAGTTAAGTCCAAACACTAGTAAGGAACGTATTTTTTACATTTTAATGCTAATGACCCACAGATGGCGGGAAAACACAGGGTTGCATCAGACTTTCGACGAGGTTTCGAGTTGGTTAGCTTTTAACCATCTCAGTGAAATGGTTAAGTGCTGTCATTTTTATATGACGAAACTACGCTAAATGAAGTGGGTTATCGGGATAACCAACTCAACAGCCATAACTACGTGGTTAGCCCCGGTGGGGACATGGTATTAGGAGCTGCCTACTGCCTTAAGTAAATTTGACACAAGAAAATTTCTTATTATGAACAAAAATTTCCTCAAATTTAAAATAATTATAAATATTTATATAACCTCCGAAAAATTAGAAATGAAATATTATTGTGTTTGGTTTTAGGAGCAAAGTGGGAGTGGAGCAGGTAAATTAGAGCGATGTATACCCTGAAGGCCCAATTAGTTGTGCCATTACCTTAACTATAGCAATCATCTGTTCTGATAAAACGTATAGGCAGCTCTGTACCAAACCATAACAACTTAGCCATAACCATAACTGTACGTATCTACTTAAGTTTTTTTTTCGATGTAACCATAAGCAGCTTTGAAGTATAGCCACAAAGTTATGGCTATGGTGTTATTCTCATGGCTTCTTTAATTAGACCTTTATTTACAAAACCTTTCATTATTGTATCATGGATTATACTTACACTTCTGACGTCAATTATGTTGTTTATCATGCATAAGACATAAACCTACTAATTGGTATTGTGTATTTTCTCTCTATCAACAGAAAAATTGTCACAGATATTGCTTACTTTTCAATTCAAGTCGGCATGGCATCGAACGTCTCGAAATTTGCGAATCTAAAGATGACAAGAATCCGAAAATCGTAACACTTGAAAATTGTGTTAAGATAACGCAAGAACCAGCCCCAGCTAATCTCATACAAGTTATCAAAAAAACTGAATCTTTGACGTTGAACACATTGTCAGAAGAGGATTTAAAAGAATGGACAAATGCATTGCAAATGGTTGCCTTTCGAAACAAAAACAGCTTACACACTTCGCAAGCAGCGATAGAAGAAGATAATGATTTATATTGCAGTTCGTTTGGCGATGGTTTATTCATTGTTACTCTTATTCCCTCCGACACATCAATCCGTTGCAATCTTGAAGCAAAATCGTACATGCTTCACTTAACTGCAACTGAGCTTCAATTGAAGTGCACCGATGACCTTAACGAAATAAGAGCAAGGTGGCCATACCGGTTTATTCGAAAGTATGGGTATCGTGATGGCAAATTTACTTTCGAAGCAGGCAGGAAGTGTTGCACTGGAGAAGGCATATTCACACTTGATCATACCAACCCACAAGAAGTATTCAGATGCATGGCCGCAAAAATGAAGTCAATGAAGAAGTTGATAAACTGTGACAATCTAAATAACGACGTAAATGAAAACCATTTAAACATTGCCGCAAATATGGAGGCGGGTTCCCGCAGCCCTTTAGCACCAAACAATCAGCAGTGCATAAGCATCGATAGTAATTCACAAAGCAACGTTTCTTACCGAGAGTTCACCACATCAAGTGATTCCATTAACAGTTTCTTTGCGAATTCTAATTCCACCTCAATATCGACTTTACCGCCTCCAATTATGAAACACATTCCGAATAAACCCCCGCGAAAAATGCAGCCCCCATTTGCCTCGTTCACAAGTTCTAATAAAACCGTAAGCAAATATCAAAATTATGATGCAGTTTCAATAACTACGGCGAGTGATCCCAACAAAACTATTGGATCAAACCTTGTTCTTAAGCCTAACTCTCCAGAGTGTGTGCGAAAACAAAGTCTAAATCCGCATAAAGAAAATAAGTCAACATCAGGAATTGAACGAGATTACGAAAGCATAGAGGCAGTTACTGATGCGTGGAAAACACTTGGGATAGATGAGGTGAAACACACTGAACGGATTTTGGCTAACCATGGCGATGAAGTTTTCATAGAACCAAGTTGGCAACGCTCCGTCAATGTATGCCAACGTTCCTTAAAGGAAGCATTTGTGCCATCTAAGGTCTCGAGAGTAATAGATATAGATATTGGTGAGGGCGGAGGAGGTGGAGGAGCCTGCACAAGTACAAGAATTATTGATGATACTTATGATCGTCTTGATTTCATGTCACCAAATAATAATACTTCGAGCGGATATAACACTATTGTGTCTATCATATCGCCGGCTCGTAAACGCTGCGATTCCCCCTCACTAAGTGACTATGAATTTATTGGAAATCCTGAAATCCAAATGATAAACACTGTGGTTAGTCGAACTTCGAATACAACATCGCCCTCCCTCTCTTCGCTTGCACTTAATTGTAATATTGCCGGTTCCAAATATTTTGATTCGTCCGCCGGACAGCAAACTTTTCAAGATGCCAAAATTTCACCGACTCACCAGAATTATAGTGGCATAAACTATACAATAGTTAGTAAGCCTAAAAGAGTTTGATACTGACATTTTATTTAAAAGCATCCCCTTTCAAAACTGTGATTGTCGTATTTGAATTAAAAGTGTACGATTGATTTACAAAAAAATACGTGTAAATCCATACATAAATATGTGCGCCATATTAAAAAATTAGACCTGTATTGCATTTAGAAATTAATAAAAAAAATCTAAATTCTTGAGTTATTTCCTCCTTATAAGTAGACATTCTTCACCTGGTCTTTTCATCGCAGAGGAGGTCTTCTGCTACTACCACCAGCGGGCTACGCGTTGTATACTATTAATGCATATCTACGTAGAACGTTCGCGTTGTGTTCGCTTTCCCATTGTTTTGACAGTAGCGCGAATAACCCTTGCTTCTATTAGGGTTGCGTGATTTTGAATTAATAAAGTTGGAAATCGAAAAATTAAATTGATTTCTAAATCGAAAGTTGTATCAAATCCTAAATAATATAAATTTATTATTTGTTCAACGAATCAAATCATGAATAAAATTTTATTTGTGAACTAATTCGTCGGTTAAACAAGATCGAATCAAATCGGAAATAAATTTTATCTTTTTTTGTCAACAAATCAATTCACAAATCCACTGTATCTTTGCGCAGAACCCCATCGAAATTTCCAAAAAACGTGTATGGTTCAAACCGAATTTATTAATAATCTAGAGCTCGGAAATTTGGAACCTTGGTTTTAAATTAAAGTCTAATCGTTTGACTACACGTGTGTGTTAGAGTTTTTAGGTTCGGGTAATGCGTTTGAACGCAACAACCGAAAAACATTGTACAAATAACTAAACCGGACCCAAGTTTCTCGATAAGGGGCAACAAACATGTTTTTTTTGTTCGTTCATATAAATCAGTATACAAAAATATACGTATATAGGGAAATTTTTGGAGATGGGGACATTTTCCGTACTGGCATATTGTTGCCGCCACAAATCAGCTGCACTGCCAAAAGCGGTTTCTATACTTCCGTTAATACTACTTACATATATGTGTGAATATCAATAAATAGTTATTAAAAACAAAACTAATGGCTTAAGTAACCTGTTTACTTGCTAAAAGCGAGAAAATCAGGAAATATCTAGTGCAACTCGCACAAAATCGCCTTTTTTTAAAGGTAAAACTTCTTGAGCGGTCAGACCTAAAGCTCGACTTTCAGACATTTATCTGTAGGTTCTGAGGAATAAAATGACAGGTATTAAACAAATGTGTCAGTTACAAAATGCGAGAACAAATGCTGCTTACAACTGTAACTGATTTTCGCATATTTTATAAAAAACGTGAAATTTCTTGTGGTAGTCGTTGAGCGGTACTTATTTTAAATTTATGGGTATAAAATATGCTTCTTCAATTCTTCAGAAGAAGAATCCTAGGTTAAAGGACAATGTGCTACTTATCATTGCTGAAAAATCTTCTTAAGAAAACTCGTGATCAACGCGTAATTTTTTACTTAATATTGGTTTTTCGTTGAGCACAACCAAACAAGGGGGACAAAATTCATAAGCCCTGGTGTAATATTTTGTGTTTGTGTATTTGGGTCTATGTAAAAAGTGTTCACCTCAAAAAAATAATTTTAATGGTCAGTACTGGATAATCTTTACTGATATAAATGCGAAAGGTTTGTTTGTTACGCTTTCACGCTTTTACTCAACCGATCTTAATGAAATTTCGTTGGTGTCATTTAGCCCAACTTAAAAGATAGGGTAGCTTTTTTCTCGATTAGACAAAGGGGCGTGCACCTCCAATACCAACGGAATTTTTCATACTGCATACCTCTGGAAGTATTTGCAGTAGAGTACTGGAACTTGGTATGGAGATATATGAAATCAAAACTATTGTCATGGAAAAAATTTGGGTTCTTGGAAAAGGGCCCGTGGCACCTGCCATACAGTCTGAATTTTTTATACTACCACCTGTTAAAAAATTAACTTCAATTCAAAGTATTTTATAAGTTAAATGAATTATTACAAAATGGATGTCGATCGAGTTGTTATATCCCAGAAATGGTGGCTCTTAGAAAAAAAAGTGTCATAACGGGTTTTAGAGATAATTGCATGATCTACAATTTTGTCTAACCTATTTTTATGATAAACCTGGCGGTTTAGCTGAAAATGGTAAAAATCAATTTATGTGACCTTTGACCTTGAATAATTTTTTTACAGGTCTGGGATCTATAATGACTTCACATTTCATTTATAATGACAATCGTACCAATTTTAAGATACATATATGCGAGTTACTGCAACCTTGAAAATCTAACTTGACCGGGCTAATATAATACAATTTTGAAAATATGGTTAATATAGAGTAGCAATTAAAAAGTATTAGTTACGCGGGTTATAATGTACTTCAATTGTTAAAAAAAAATATTGAAAAATCGCCATCTCAAAAGATTTTCCCATATGCGAAAGGAAAATTTATCTGTTAAAAAGAACACCACTAATATTTCCTGCAAACTCACATCGATTTACATATTCCCACTGGGAAAATAGGTAAGCACCTTACGAGGTAAGTCACGTTTTCTTTCCATGGCCAATGCCATCTATTAGTAAAGCACAAAATGAACACCGGCGACGACACACTACGTGGCCAGTTGCAAAATAACGTGCAGCCGAAGTTATTTCCAAGCGCCAAACTACTCCGAGCGACTGCTTTGCATTATGCGAAACTTACTTTGTAAAGCGGCTCAGAGCTATGTCTGATACCAAATGTACATTCTTAATTCCTTCTTATATCATGCGGCCACGTCTTTGTTAAAGTAATGGAGATTCGGCAAGGAAGTAGTAAGGACCGCCGGGTGAAGTGTAAGTTGCTGGTAAGGTATTGCCCTTCACCCGGCTCCCGTAATGCAAGCACATGCCACACGTTGAAGCTTAGAGAGGGTCTGCTCACCGTTACCATAGTAGTCCTGGAATACCAAGCCACCGCACCATAAGTCGCTATAGGCCTCACTATCATAGTGTACATCCATCGGAGGATCCTCGGAGTGCACCTCCAGGATTTACCCTCTAGACGTTTGCACACCATCATCGCTCTCGTGGCCTTAGAGGTGACCGCATCAACATGGGCCTTCCACAGAAGCTTGGAGTCCAGGGTAAGCCCTAGATACTTAACCTCTATGGCGACATTGATTACGACCCCATCCAAGGTCAAGTTCCTCATACCCTGAAGATTTCGTTTCTTGGTGAAGGAGACTATAGCTGTCTTAGAGGGGTTGATATTTAAGCCTACGTCTGCGCACCACCTATTTGCAAGGTTAAGACTTCTTTGGACGATGTCACAGAGAGTACTAGCGAAATTCCCTCTAGCGATAACCACTATGTCGTCCGCGTATCCTTGTCAACGGACGCCTTCGTTAGTGAGTATCTGTAGGAGTTCGTCCACAACTAAGCACCACAGTAGAGGAGATAATACTCCCCCTTGCGGGCACCCTTTTGTCATTTGTATTTGAACGACGCTGTCGCCGACTTCAGTTTCGCCGATCCTGGTCTGCAGTAACCTTGCTATCCATCGCCGGATAATTAGCTGAACGTTATGTTTCTCAAGAGCTCTGTGGCTCCCAAATGGGAGGCGTTATCAAAGGCCCCCTCGATGTCGAGGAAGGCACAGAGCACCACCTCATCACACTCAAAGGCCCCTTGTATTTCCTCCGTTAAGGCATACAGTGCAGTGTCCGTGGATCTACCCACCCTGTACGCGTGCTGGTTGGAATGCAGAGGGGTTTGTTTCAGAGTGTTCAACCTGATTTCATGGTCAATAATTTTTTCCATTGCCTTTAACATAAAGGATGTGAGACTTATCGGCCTGAATGACTTGGCAAGAGAGTAATCACTATTACCTGCCTTCGGGATAAAGATGACCCTTGCCCTCTTGCCTTGGGAATCTGAGCCAGTGCTAGACTGTCCCTCATAATATCCACAAGATCCACCCCAGGGCCTTGTACCGTTCGAAGGAGTCCAAAGCCCACATCACTGTTTGCCGGTTTATAAGGCTTTTAGCCAGTCTGCAGCCCGGTGGGGATGGCCTGAACGCACGGAACATCGCTTCCCCGGCGGTGGGAATGGCGCCCGGAAAGTGGGCCGACAGCAGGGCGAGTGCCCTTTCCTGTTCAGTACCTGAGAAAGTCCCTTGCCAAAGCTTTATGAAGCCTAGCAGCTGCAGGAGTGGACGCGATGTTCTGACAAAAGGTCCTGAAGCTGCTACGCTTGGCTTTTCTAATCTCTTAATTTTACTTTGTCAGACTGACTGATTCCCCCCAGTTCCCGGTGCGCTTTGCCCTATTGAAAAGTCTGCGCACCTCCTTCCTAAGAACCGAGAGTTTCCCGTGACCACCAGGGAGGCTAAGCCTTCCCCTTAGGCTTTGAGGCATCTAAATAGTGCCGTTCAGCCTGTTAACCCTGTCCTCTAACGCCATACAATCTACCTTTCTTTGTTGTACCTCTATCCTGGGTAGGATCAGTCTAAGTACCTCTTCAAATTTGGCTCAGTCTGTTTTCCTGGGGTTTCTCTTGAGGTTACCTGTCTGACAAACAGCTCACAGTGCAAACCGGATAATCCTGTGATCCGATCCACCTCCACCTACTTGCCATCAACATTCAAGGTGGTCTGGACCGCTACCAGATCCTGTGTAAGAAACTCTGTAATGCAAAAATAATTAATATTATTCTTTAACACTACACACGCTGTGGGCCTCTCGCAGGAGGTCCCAAACTACCTTATTGTTATTGTGGTTGAGGCCCCCCACCTGGCCACTGTAGGTCCACGGTTCCTGTATTAGCAGTATACCCAGGTCCTCCGTATCAAACCTGCTCGCAATGACCGCCGAGGCGGCCACCGCGTGATGCAGATTGACCAGGGCTACTTCTACTGCTGGTGACTTCATAATTGGGGCTCGTCGTCCGAGAGCCGCACATCGCCCTCGCTTCCTCTATCGAGTTCGAGCCTGCCAATGTCCGCTAGCAGCTCCTGTGTGGTGCGCACGTAGTCGAGGGCACTTGGCCCGGAACTCACGGGAGCTGTGCAGGTTCTATTTGCTGGTTTGCTGGTACCTGTGCCGGTTCTGTCAGCAGGTCGTCTGGTAGGGCCGTGGTCGACTTGGTCGCTGGGGCAGCAGTGGTGTCAGTTTCCGCGTTAACACACATGTCTTGCGACTCTGACTCCTTGCTGCTTGTCGTCTTTTGCCGCCACGGCCTCACCGTGACGTAGCTGTACCGGAAGTTGACGTTAAATCCGGCCCTCTGTATGCTGACGTACGACGCCTCGTCGATGCCCAGGTTGCGCCTGAAACCGTTGTCTTCAGCGCCGCACGACACCACCTTCCACGCAGCCGAGTGGACACCCTCGTTCTGGGCCTGAATGAGCCCCAGCACATACTCAGCCGATTTCTCGGCGCATCTAGGAAGGAACACCGAGATAGTGGGCACCGGGGGGATGTCCTCCCCCCTTTTGGTGCACAGCCCGGGTCCCTTCCACCCCTCAATAACCGGTGCCTTTTCTGCCAGCCAGGCTGCAGTCCGCTCATCCTTGCAGTCCACAAGGAGCATGCCTTACCTGAAATACAACCCACAGAACACCTGAGGGTGCTTCCACCCTTTTAGGACCTCATCCATAATAGCATCCTGGAGTCTAGTTAGGTCCTCAGGGCATAGGGCAGCTGCAGGGTAATCACAGTGCAGCACAGCCACCCGGATGCCTTTAAGAGCATCAGAATAGCTGGGCTGCTGAGTGGTTCCTTCCTGAGGCCGACCCTGGCCCGCATACCCATCCAGGCCCTCAGAATCTGTCTGAGGGGGTTTAGGCCCCCGCTGCCCTTTGGGGGACGGTGGCTCAGGTGGTGTGACCTGTAAGCTGGTTCGCTTTGCTAGACCTGTGCAAGTTGCTATTTGGGTTCCCCGCTTCTCCGCCATTGGGCGGGCGCGGTCTTTGCTGCTGTTGCCCGCTTCTCTGCCTTTTAGCAAGCGCGGGTAGTTTACTTGTGTTGCTAGTCTGCTGCTTACCAGCGGTTGCAGCTCTGTTGCCTCAGCGCTTGCGCTCTTCGCGCTCACGTTCTTCACGCTCCACCTCTTGCCGTACTTCCGCCATAGTGAGGGCTTCGTTCGCAGATTTCCCCTGCTGAAGGTACCGAAGATACCACTTGACACCCGACCCACCAAGACAAGCTCGATGATGGCCATCAAGGGCTACCGGTTGACCGGAGGGGGGTAGTGGAAGAGGTCTGCACCTGCGACTACGCTTCTTATTTTCTTGTACTAGCCACCCTGACTCGTGCGACGCTGAGGAGGTCCGACTGGGAGACCTACGGTGCCTACTACTGGAACGGTGCCTACTGCTGGACCAATGCCAGCTCTCCGAGCGACGCCGGCCCCTGGACTGGCATCGACTCTCGGAGCGGTCACGACACCCGGAGTGACGCCGACCTTCAGTCCGATGCCTGCTTGCATAGCGATGCCTGTTTTTCGGGAGTAATGCTTCTGCTCCCTTGAGGCCTTTTCAAACGATGCTGCGCCTGATCCACGCCGCCCCTGCTGGTGCTTGGCTTCTCATCTACTCTGGCGTGTTCTATGAAGAGGGCAGTCTCTTCCTCGGTCAGGCTCTCAAGGAAGCTACCCCTGCGCCTGGTGCCTTTACCCCCGGCCAGCATGTTACTGCCGTGCGTGGCCGTTGCTGTTTTGTGCTTTAGTGTTTTTTGTTGTTGTTGCTTTTGTTTTTTTTTGTTTAGTTGTATAAATGTTGTTCGTACGACTGCCTGCACGACGAGGCGAGCTCAGCAGTCAAGTAAATGGAAGGGGAAGCGCCACATGTCGCGGTAAGGCCACCGATACTCCTCGATGCGGCCCAGTGTCGAAGAGGCGCCGTTATTATACGGCCAGTTTATACCCTCCTGGCTGCAAACCGTCCAATAGGCACGGTGTCGCATCACACCCTGGATTAGGAGGTGGCAGTTCTTAGTCACCGTTCGCCGGCAGCCCCAATTTGGAGAAAAGGCAGCGCAGAAGCGGCGTGCGCGTCAACGATGCCCCAGACCAGAGAGGGACTGGTCGGCGATTCAGCTAAGCCCCCAAACCAACGGCAAGATGCCTGCCCTAGCGAGGGGGGTCTGTCTATATGGACAGGGGCGCTAGCGTGGTGGGGTTTAGAGGGCATACGAAGAGATGCTGTGAGTCATGGGGCGACTCTCCGCATGCCGGGCATTCGTAGACAATATCTTCGTTTAATCTGCTCAGGTATGAGTTCAACCTGCTGCAACAACCAGAGCGCAGTTGGGCTATTGTGGTCCGAGTCTCTCGAGGCAGGCGAAGTTATGTCTCGTCCACGACTGGTGGCAAGTCTGCAGCTTCATCCACTGCGTCCTACTAGTCCCCGGTGACCACACGGGCGCGGCGTAGTTTAGAACCGGCCGGCCAATTGCCTTGTACGTTGCCAGCAACGTTTCTTTGTCTTTGCCCCAAGTGCTGCCGGCTAGCGATTTGAGGACCTTGTTGCGGCTTTGTACGTAATGTGTCGTCGGAGGGAGCTTACCTCGTAAGGTGCTTACCTATTTTCTCAGTGGGTTTTATCTCGCTTCCGACACAACTGTTTTCGTACAAAATAAAGCAAAAAAAAGCTGTCAATTTCTTACTTGTTCGTTATTAGGCATGCCATTTCATAAGTTCGAGTGGAGTTCTTTATTTTTTAATTGATAGCGGATTTTGAATCAAAAGGGATATGAAATCGGGCAATCCTGGCTACAATGGATGCCGCGAATGCGAACGGTCGGTTCCACGTTGACGGATTGACTCGGAGCACCAACTCCGACCAAGGATCTGTACTGTTTATGCTGCATAACACGGTTCAATTCCGGTTGTTGTTATTGTAACGGCTAAAACAACCCCGCCCAGATCGGTTAATATCTCAGTCGTTGTCGTCAAGCTCCACTAACGGAAGCCCAAAGAAGCGTGCAGCCTCAGTTTTGTACCCTAAAAAATGTATGGTGTGTACTCCAAATTTGCACCTATCCCGGCGAAGATGTAAACCTGATTTGTCGAATCGGGATAGCACTTCATTTATACGCTCAGATAGTTCCGTCTCGGTTCCGCCCATGATGACTACATCGTCGAAATACGGTAAAACACAAGGAATATTCCGAAGGAGCACGTCAATAAAATTCTGAAAAATTCGCGGAGCTGACGAAATGCCAAATTGAAGACGGTTTACTTTAAATGCGCCTTTGTGTGTCGCAACGGTTTGCAACATGGCAGAGTGTTCGTCTACGGCAAGTTGTTGGTACGCTTGTGCGAGATCTAATTTAGCAAAGATCTTTCCCCCTTCTATTGAAGAGATAAGCGAGCTTATAGATGGAATTTGGAAATTGTGTGGCAACATGGCCTTATTTAGGGAAGACTTGTAGTCACCACAAATTCTAATGGTTCCATCGCTTTTGAGAACTGGGACGATGGGCGTTGCCCAGTCAGAGTATTCGACAGGTTCAAAAATACCTTGAGCGCACAAACGATCGAGTTCAGTTTCAACAAGACTACGAATAGCTATTGGAATACGGCGTGCGGGAAGCCTAATGGGTTGGATGTTGTTTTTAACTTGTAAGGAAACTGGTTCCCCTCTGAATTTGCCAAGTTCTTTTGAAAAAAGATGCTCAAATTTGCCTAAAATGTGTTTGATTGTGGGCGATTCTTCAATTGCCAACACTCCCTGCACACTTATGCCCAACGCATCAAACCAATTACAACCCAGCACGTTGCTTTGGTTACCATTTACAATGATAAGTGGTAAGTCTTTGATTGGACGTTTGTTGTTCTCAATGTCAACATCTAACACACCTCTGTTAGGTACACCATTATGTTGAAAATCGCTCAATTCAAGACCGCACTCGTATAGCAACGGCTTAACCCCCGGCCATAATTGGTCGAATGTTTTAGAAGATACTATAGTATAATCTGAACCTGAATCCACTTCAAACTTACATGGTTTTTGGTTGATGTATATGGTGGTAGATTTCTTACGACTCCGTGAGCTTAAAATCTGATTGATCGACTGTGGTTTCGACTTACCACCAGAGACCGAAAATAACTGGTCCACTTTTAACACATCGTAACTTTTCCTATCCTTAACCATTTATTTTTTACTTTTTGTGATATATCACGCTGAAAGCATTTGATGCGAGGGAGCTTACGGTTAATGACTGTGAGAAATGGGATCGCTAACAAAAGTTAAGGCCAACCGCGGTTATTTATAAATTTTTTTTTTGTTGAAAAGGTGAGTTAGTAAATTTAATTATGCTGCAGAGAAAATATATGATGAAAATGCAACGAAGTGTAAAACAAACTATAAAGAATAGTAAGTAGAACTATTTTTATTCACTCAAATAATCACCGTTATATAATTTTTTTACAAACTTTACACTCTCAAACTATTTTATCACTACTCGTATCAAAGTTAAAAAAGCTGCGGAATTCAAGGCATGATTTTCGGCCCATCTTCTTCCTTTCAATAAGTAAACTATACTAGCTACAAGCAAACAACGGAAGCACTTCACTCAGTATTTTTAACATACCTACTTGGATACCGTTGCATTTAAAAAAAAAAGTAAAACAAAAGGTCAATTCGAAAGGCAAAAAAAACATCAAATCAAATAAAAGTCTAACCAATGCAGATAAGCCAAAAACTTGTTATGAAAGTTATTGTGAGTGATTTATTTTTTATAACAAGAGATAAATGACAATTTGTGACACAGCAATAAGTGGGCCGGTTATTTTCGGTCTCTACTTACCACCTTGGTGTCGATTTTTGTCCGTAGCTTTCGTATGCTCCTTCGCTGCACCTGCATTGACTGACCGGCAGACCCGTTTCAAATGGCCCTTGACACCACATGCAGAACAGATTGTTTCCCTATGAGAGCACTGAGATCGAGCATGTGTACCTCCACATCCATTACAAGGTTTTGCGCTAGCTGTATTGTTTGAGCTTTTAAACTTTTTATTGTATTTCGGCTGATTACGTTTTCCAACTTGATTAACTTGTTCGGGTTGTCGTATTAGTTGCACGTTCTTTGATGCGGCTTCCGCTGTTGTAGCCCGTTCTATGAGGTTTCGCGAGTAGGTTTCGTTGAAGGGATTCGTCGCGCAAACCGCACACCAAACGGTCACGCAGCATGCGATCTAAAGCGGCTATATATTCCGCAAAGGTTTCATTTGGCATTTGATCGCGATTGTGGAATTTGTAAAATGATGCAATTTCCGATGGACGAGGGGAAAAATGATTCGTTAATACTGCTTGAATTTCCGAAATTTGAAGGTCACTCACCTTCTTGGGGGATGCCAATGACGACAGCAGGTCATAAAGCGGCGAGCCGGCTAGTGTTAAAAAAATCGGCCTTTGACGCTCAGCTGTCCGTATGTCATTGGCCTGAAGGAACAACTCGAACCTAGTGTAGTATATGGACCAATTCTCCGGATGACTTATGTCAAAAGGCTCTAATGTTCCTACTGAAGTCATTGAAGAGTTCGATGCTAAATCCGGTATACCTCTTGAACTGGATGCTGAGTCTTCCCTTGACAAATCTCGTTGCAAAGAGCTTCTTTTTCCAGCTTAATTGGCATTGACACTCGATGCAACGAGGAATTGAATGATTGTGCGAATTCCCAGTACACTTACTTGGCTTTGAATGTCAAAAGGTTGCCCGAAAATTAAGTCGCGTAGCGGTCAAAAGGGTCACCTTCACTGGCTGACTTGTAGCCGCTCTCAATATCTGCACGTAGTTTTTGTGTCGCTTGCCAAAGTCACGCGTTGTTGAAACAGAATTTTAATGTGATGGGGATGATCCCATCCTCGTCGCCATTAATAAATCCGTCAGATTTATGCAATTAACGTTTCAACTTAACTTAATGCAACTTTATTTGATATAATAGCAAATTACAAAATGTATTGATTTCAGCTTGATGCTGTCAAAAGATTAAACTGCAAGTGCTGGTCCTCTCACAAGAATGCTGTCAGACAACTTCCAGTGTGTGATGTTGTAGGTGTGCGAATAACGTGGGAAGATAGACTAGCAGAAATCGTACGACAATGCCAAACAGGGTGCTTAATATTTGACACTTTTCAAAAATTATAAAATCTGCACAGTTCGTTGGATTAAAAAAATAAGGCATCAAATGAAAGGGCTGGGCCTAAAGCTGTACAGTAAGGATTTATTTTTTGAATAAGAGTTTCCGCCTGTCTACAAAAGTATAATATTTACATCCTTCGCATGATTTTTAAAAATGAGATGTCCAACGAAAGGGCTTGGCCTCTAGATATGAAAAAAGTTTTTATTTTTTTGAATAGAGCTTACACCTGACTAAAAAATTGTAATATTTACACTGTCCCCAGATTTTCAATAGTGAGGTGTCAAACGAAGAGGCTATCTAAGAGGAATCTAAAGATGTGCAAGAAGGGTTCTTTTTTTTGAACAGGGTTACAATATTTTTATAAATTTTAAAGTCTGGACAAATCGTTGGATTAAAAAAAAAAAAGGTATTTATTTAATGATATATATGTTATTTTTTTGTAAGGCTTATGAGTAAAATGAGATTCTATAAAAAAAACATGCCTACGCAGAAAGGTGTTTTCTGCAAAAGGTGTTCAGCCGCTCTTCTTCGGCAACACAGAAAGGAGACTTCTACTTCGTGAGGGTTATAATCCCTAAGTGCGGCCGAAGCTCATCTACGCTGAAAGGTGTTCTCTGAAAACGGTGTTCAGCCGCTCTTCTTTGGCAACACAGAAAGGAGAATTCTACTTCGTGAGGGTTA